CATTTAGTTTTGAGTGTATAATTGCCTAAAGCCACAATAAACCTTTATGCCCCGCTCTACCCTATATAAAAAGTTATCATAATTTAAATTTCATTATCGTTATTTTTTATTTGTTTTATATTTTATCTCATGATTTGGATCAAAAATTTTAAGCAAATTATTTTAAAAAAATTAATTAATATAACCTTATTATTAGTGTCAACTTATTTTAAGTATTAATTTTATTTAAATATTTCTTACATTTCTTCGTAAATTTTACTACACTATGTATCCACAATTTTGCTGGTTAAGAGCATGTCTGACATTTCGTTGAACATCCCACGTTCATGTTCTATTGTTTCGCGAAACAGCTCAACATGGAACAGGCAGCGTAAATGGATGCATAAATATAAACATACATACACATAAATACAGATATTTCAATTTAATATTCGTAAAATGTTTACTAGATGTTATCTCCCACACATGGTTCTAATAACTTAACAATACACGTGGATAATTAATAGTTAATAAATGCGGTCGTTGAAAGCATACCATTAATTATTGGGAGGTCGTGAATTATTATGGATCTAGCTTTACAACAATAATATTATGATTTACTCTTTATATGTACATATTGATTATATCAATCTAAATTAACTAAATCATGTAATTGTGATTTAAAGCAAATTTTTTTGCTAAAATGCTAAACAAGTCCTAAAATTAATTAACTATCTAAATGAATTAAGCTAGTGATGTATGACCTTTAGGCAAATTGCTGAGTTAAAATTATTTTTTTAAAATATAAAAGAGAGCTTTAGAACTTTAGCCAGAATTAAAATTAAAATCTAAATTATTTTCGATATACAAAAAAAAAATAAAAAGTTTTTTTTTTTTTTTAAAGGCAATTGTTTTGCCAACACAAGCAGAAAGTTTTTTGACTCATTCAAATGTAGGTTGCTTAGGTCTCTCAAAAACTGCCATTTTTTGCACATTTAGCTCCGTATCCACGAAATGGCTGGACCTGCATTTACTTAAAACCAATCACCACTTCTCTCCATCATTGAGAATTGAATGTTTTTAGATCATTCCAATCGGATGCTCCGATCTCTCAAAAATTTTCTATTTCCTGCACTCTTTGTTCCGTATCTCCGTAACTGCTAGACCTGGCTTTGCCAAAAACTAATCAGCACATCTCCCTATCAATAAGAATCGAATGTTTTTTGAACCATTAAAATCGGTTGATCTATGCGCGGACATACAAAATACACACACATACATCCATTTTTTCTGATGTATGCGAAAATTTTCAGAATAAAAATTTTTTCAAAACGTGAAGATATGCAAAAATTTTCATTTTCGATTTTCGATCCATTACTATAACTACCCTACGGGAAGTTAATAACTAGCAATGTACATTTATATCTAAAGAAATAGTTGGAATTCTGTTGGAACTATTTTCGCTATTCACAAAAATTATAACACACACAATATATTAAGTTGAGAAAGTAAATTGTTAGATATAAATTGAATGCATTGGGTAAAAAATTGACTCAAAATATTATACAAAACTGTTTGAAATTACATAGTTAAATGATTTATATTTTCAAATATTTTAATAGGGCTCGCCCGTAGGTAAGCGGTTAAGAGCGACGGGACTTGTTTCATAGGTCCCGGGTTCGATACCCGCTTCGAGCAGCCTGTTGTCAGGCAGCAGTGACAAAGAATTTTCACTTGAAAATATAGATAGCAATATGTTTCCAAGTGAAAATAGCCCTTTCCCGGCATTGCTGCACCAATAAAATGTCAGCCCTATTAGATTAATTCTAATAACAAAAAATCATCAAATATGGATGGATTGGGTTACCATCTAAAAAATACGAAGTAAGGAGAAGTTTCAGCCCAACAGCTCATAAGACGTAAGGTTCTGATTGCTGTTCAAAAATAATAAAAAATAAAATATATTTTAATAGTGAATAATTTTTCTTGTCTTTGTTCAATTGAGTTCTTTCAAAAGTTCAATTCAAATACAAAAGGTTCTATTTAATAAATCTTTAAATGTGGATTTATTTTTGTTACAATTTATTTTTGTTAATCAAGACAAATGTGGAAATAAAACCCAAAATGCAAAATAAATATTTTTTTCTTAAAAAATACTCAATTTTAGTCGCTCTTCAATATATGATAGGGTTAAGCACAAAAATTGCCAATTTGACTTTCAGTAATTATACTATCTAAATACAATAAACGACCTTCATAGACCTATAAGTATAAATATAAAACTATCAAATTAGGATCAGTTTATTCCTAATTATAATAATATTTGTTTGCTATTTTTCGAAAATTGATCATCGGTTTCCTTTCACCCCAAAGGCAGGGTAGAAAAAGATAACCATGGAACAAGCAGAACCAATGTCTTATTTTTTCAAAGGGAAATATTTTGAATATCACCATAGATCACCAAGAGAGAGGGAGGTTCAAAAATCTTTAAAAACTCGCTCACATGATTAATAAACGTCTCTTTATTGTTCACACATTTTCTAATGTAAATTTTCAGTTGGTTCATTTACCATATCCACATGTAAGCTTTTATAGAAGCTATATATGAAAATTGGTTAAATCTAACAATACCTTATACCATATGAAACAATCGAATAACGTATAATGAAAAATTAAATTTAAGTATTATAAACTAAATAAAAGCTCAAAGCATCAAAACCATAGCGACGTGGTAATAATTCAAGTCATGGCTGGTGACATCTTTTCTCTTCAATTTTATTTAAAAGTATCGTTGTTTTTGAAGTAATGTTCTAAATAACACATACGCGTGTGCAAGAATATATTCTTCTCTAATATATGAATGTTTCGCAAAGGCAGTATATTTTCCTATTAAATGCGAATTGAAGTACCGCCGTTGACCTTATTTATGAGATGCGGATAATGCGTTTTCAGAATTATTGATCTGTAACGAGGTTGTTCACTAGATATAAGTTTTTCCCTTGAGGAAATACTTTGCAAACTCATCGGTTACGTGACTTGATTTTTATAAACATAATAAAGTAAAAGAGAACTATGCATCAAGTAGATCTACATATAAAGGGCATGTCTTTTACTAGAAATTCATTTTCAAACATAATTATTATGTAGAATAATGATAGAATCATTTGTAAGAAACAGAAGTTTCTTAAATTATTGCAATATATTTCTTAAGACATATTTTTTTAAAAAATAAATAAAGCAAATGGTTGTATCTCACTGGTGAGATTTGTTTGAGAACTCGCCATAAAGACTAACACATAGATGGATAATATAATATTAATTCTGATTGATTATCTATATACAAGGTGTCATAGACCAAGTCAAGACGAAATGGGATTATAGAATGAATACTAACTGTCCTGTAAAAATTTAGAAAAATAAGATCGAACCTAGAGCTTCGGTTAAATCATGATTTATCAGTTTTTTATACTTTGAAATCGTATCCCTGAATAACATTTCTGGGACCACAATGAAAAAAATACCACAATTGCTCCAAATTTTCAAGAACTAAGACTTTTAGTTGAACTATGAATTTAAAATTTTTAAAATTGGTCGACTTGGAGAGGTCCTCCTTTAAAAAAATGTACTGAAGTGTGTTGGTAAGTTTCAAAGTTGGCGCATTTAAACAGAATTGTAAATATAAAATACTTAAAAATTTTGAGTAAAAAATTTTAAAAACCAAGAAATGACATTGCTTTTGCCAGTGCATTGTGTGTATGTGTGCACACCCATATATATATATCGAAAAAGCAAAATTTTGAAATATTCGATGCCTGACTTAATGCTATATATTTAGTATACCTTAGAAAACCAAGATATAGTGTATTTGTGTGTCCATAATCTAGACTAGACTTTCTCGTATTTTTATCTCAATTTAATTCACATATTATCACCAGCATTAGAAACAATGTAGCAGTAATTTTGTAGATTGAACAAACATTTGATTTATGATCGGTATTTGTGTTTACTGCGAATATTGACATTACTGTTTAGTTCAATTTTACCTAAGGATTTACTCACTAGTATATAAAATAATAGGTATTCATCGATGTGCGTCGATTATTCGAGAAACTCTTATTAACTATTATTAATATTCAATATTTTTGGCTATTATCAATAGTCAAAAAACCAAGTTCGTAGAAACACACATCGATTCCAATCTCGATTCACCGGTGTAATTACATATTTAGTAGCTGGGTAGTTATTAAATTTATATTAAAATATTCATACTTCTCTTCTTTTAAATGAGAGTTTTCAGACTTAATTCTGCAGAAAGCAATACATTAAATTTAGAATTCTTACTCTACTTCTTATTCTTTAGAGCCTAAAAGCTCTAAAACACATAATTCTTACTTAGGGTCAGAAGCCGTATCTTTATTAAATTATTAGAATTTATCAATTATTAGAATACATTCTCAAATACTAATGCAATTAAATAAATTTTTGTCAAAGACATTTTTTTCATTGAGGTCATAATTTAGGCTTACTTACTTTTACCTACTAAACCAAGTTGATCGCTTCATCTAGTTTCTTGTCATCTTTTATTTTTGCCCAATACTCTAATTTTATTAAGTTTGTTTCTGTATTCAAAAGTCATATCAACAATATTCTAGCCAAAGTGAGCCAAAGCCATACCTTATATTCGCCTAGGCAAGGCATTAGTACTACATTTTGGCGTTGATACTTCTTAAATAATAATGTCTTTCTGGTAAAATTAAACTAACAAATCTATTGAACGATATTCTATGCAATTCTAGGCAATTTTAGTGATATTTGAACTAATGTAATTGAACTTTCATAACTCGTTAATTAATTTAACATTAATTTTATTATTATATTGTGCGGAGTAATAGAACTTAAAATAGATTAACATTTAACAAAAAATATATATAATTTAGAGAGTAGTTAATTGTTTATTGAAAAGATTCGATTAAAACCTCAGTGGTGTATTGATCTATATTTCTTTTGTGTTCTCTTTTCAGAGAAGCAGTGTGGAATCGACGGAAATTCACGCATTCGACGATATCAAACAACTTATAGAGGTGAGGAAGACTTTAATATTCCGCACTTATAGAGGAATTCCAATTTGCACTTGTGTGATAAAGAGACACCTGCAGCGTATTCCCATATATACATACATATACATACACACAAACAGTATATATATATATATATATATATATATATACTAGCTGTCCCGACCCGTATTTCTAAAAAATTTCTAGTATGAAAATGACTAAAAGATTGTGAATGTAGAAGCGTATGGAATATAAGTGAAAGAGACATCTAACACAAATTAAGGGGCCAAAACTGCCGTAAAACATATCAACATTATGGCTAGGTATTTTTATATAGCAGTTTTCAAACAAAATCGTACTAAATACTGCCAAAAGTCATATGATTGCTGTGGAGTCAGGCGTTTTAAATAAAAAATCAAACTTACAAAACGCGCAAATGTCAAGAAAAAAAACGATGTTATTATAACTACATCTTTATGATATGGTTTAATAACATATGAGTGAAGTCGCATTTTATGCGTAAAACGTCTGATCGCACAGCAAATAGATGACATTTTGATAGTATTTAGTATCATTTTCTATGAAAACTGGAACATAACGATTGAATCGGCCCATAAGTTATTGGTTTACCTATTGCAACGCATGCCTCATATAAAGATTTCTAAAACATATTAATAGTCATTGCAAGATTTCATTTAAATTCAATTGGCATATTCCAATATTCAAAGTTTTCATTTATTTGTTTATTTTTTGTTCATTGTTCGGTTATTACCGCGCTTTTCAATAATTTTTGAATTTCAAAGCAATATCGGAAGATTCATTTTTAAATAATGTTGTAGCATGTCTAACGAATCAAGTAAGATTTTAAAAACTCTTGAGGAAAATTTACAGCTTTGCCATATATTTGAATGGTATCTTATCTAGTTCCCTCTCAAAAACTGATTCTTGATACTTTCTTCAGTTCAATCTTTATGAGTATATTCATAATGCATTTAGAGAACAGTGATTTGCTAATTGAATTGAAATTTTTGAAAACATCAAAATATATTTACATATATGATATTTTATTCAATTGAACTTGAATACGTATGTAATATGTTAACAAAAAGTTAAAATTTAGTAATAAACTTTTTGAGTTTTGTAAAAAAACTCATCTTTTCCATCCGATTACCATTGTATCTCTAATTGAGTGGAAACTGAGTGCATTTTGTGATGAGCGCCACAGATAACTGGTTAAGTTACAATGGCCTACCACACAACTTCTTATTAGCCTCAGTAGAGAAAATTCCCAGTGTTACATCGAAAAATATCAGTAGAGAAAAAGAAAATGCTCGGGGTAAAATCATCATCCTTTTTATTTATCATCTTTATATGATTCTTATATTTACTAAACATTTTTAATATTTTTAGAAATTTCTCAATAATTCATTAAAGTTATTGAATATTGAATCATATCCTCTGATAAACCTGCAGGCCTTTTCACAGAATCTCATCTCATATTAGATCATGTAAGTTTTTTAGACGTTCCTTTAAATTACAATATCCGGTCAGAAAACTTCCGATTAACCTATGTTCTGCATGTATGTATAGAAACTAGTCGTGCAAGGCATTATGCCTTTAGGGGGTATTCTAAGATAGAGGCATGAATTTCGACCGGTTTTTGAAGCGCTGTATAAAGGAAACAAATAATATTTTTACTATCGATTTTTTTATTATTTATTCATTGATATTTTATTATTATATAAAGAAATTATTAAAAAAAAATATAATTCACAAAGTTATGAGCAGTCAAAGTGGGGGCTCAAAAAAGAGGGTGTCCTGGCGTGCATGATTCCAACCCTCCTGGTGATGTGAAACATAAAAAATAGATGGATTCTTAATTATTATAGATGCCGCTATCCATATGACCCTAGAATAAGTTAAAAATTTTTTTTTGTTTGAATGGCGGCAGTTTGAAAAAAAATTTTTTTTCATGTTTTTTTTAACAATTCCGATTTTTTTAAAAATACTAAATGAAAAGTTATAGTTTTCGGCAAGGTCCACGCGATAAAGCGACGTATAGAGAAGATCCTCTCCAAATTTGAAGTAAATCGGTTCATTAGAACTCGAGATATCATTACCGCCAGCTCGAAAAAAGCAGTTCCGAGAAAAACGGGTATAACTCAGGAAATAATAGTAATTTTGAAAAAGCCTTTTAATGACATATTTTTGAATAACTAAACTTTGAAAATATGAAAAAAAAATTTCGATTTTTTCAAAATTCTACAGTAGAATACCCCCTTAAGGCATAATGCCATAATTGATAGAACTTTCCGTACCGTAATTCAAAATTTTTAAAAGCTCAGGAAAAAAATACATTTTTGTGGAGAATTTTGATTTATTTTTATATTTTCGAAAGTTTTTAAAACATTTAAATAATTGGAATATTGAAAAAAATGAGAAACAGCCTTTTTAACTTGAAAATTTTGCGAAAGCTGATTTTTTTTGTTTTGTTTTGATTTTATAATTTGAAATTTTTTGAAAGTTTTTAATACCCATTTATGTCAGATGATCTAGAAGACTATCAGAAATATCGGATTTTCGACCGCCAAATTGCATAGTTTTTAACTTTTTTTCTGGATCACTTGCCTTTGCAAAAATTTAATCGATTCATCATTACGTCGATACAAGTGGAATGCTTTTTTAAATCATTCAAATCGGATGCTCCGTTCCTTCACAAACTTAGTTGCCATTTTCTGCACTTTTCACTCCACATCTCCGAAAAGGCTGGTCTTGTCTCAGCCAAAAACTAATCAGCACGTCTCCTTATAAATAGGAATCGAATGCTTTTTTCAATTATTCAAATCGGTTGATCCGTGCGCCCGAAGTCATGGACGAATAGTTAGTATCCATACATACATACACACACACGTCAATTTTTGATAAGGTAAGCCAAAATGTTCAAAAACCTCTAAAACGTGAGAATATGCAAAAATTTCCATTTTCGATTTTTGAACGATTACAATAATTTACACTCCGCGAAGTTAATAATATCATTAGAGAAAAATGATCTCGAAAAAATCGGTAAAAATAATTAAAGTATATAGTTGGAGAATTGATTTCTTATGTATCCTCCAATAAACCTGTATCAATATCACTTAGTAATCGACTATGGTAGTAGGTAGTCGAAGTATCTAATATATTTCCAATTGGTACTTCTATCACTATTTCCGTAGCTATATAAACAAATAGGTAAATACTTAGAGCGGTAGTTCTCTAACCAATTCTGCTCCACGTTTGAATAAACCTTGTACGAGAAACATATACAAATACAAAGAGAGCAAGGAGATTGTTCCGTTCAGAATTTTATTATCTCGTGTAGTTTTTATATTCAGGTCACGCGTTAGATTAACTTTTCTCGCATGTTCTTCACCCCTGTTGTGTTATAAACCTGGGTGCGGTCAACCTAAGACTGCCTGAGAGCTTTTCGTAAGTTATGTCAGGTTTTTACATATGTAATTGTTTCTTAGCTGAACTAAGCCTTATTTATTGTGGCGATAAAAAAGATAATGGAAATATATTGACGTGCTGTCGAAATAGTATAATAAAATACACCAACAGACAGTTCTGTGACAATACATTAGAGCAGTGATTCCCAGCGCACGCCACACTGGGCGCCAATTTGTAAATTTTGAGGGGCAATTTAAAAATTTAGGTGATTTGAATGTTACATAATATAGGTAAAACATTTAACAAAAATGCTTATGAAATTTAATTAAGATCATAAAGTAAACTCAGTAAGTTAGAACATAATATAAAATCTTCGTCCAGCAAGCACCAAGCTTCCGAATGACATTTATTAATTATAAAAAAATCAGTAATAAAATTATATTGAAATTTCGGTTTTTATTACTTTATATAGACATTTTATTTACAATACTTTGATAACAATCTAATAGTAATTTCTTGTTAAAACATATTGTTTACATTTTTTCAGGAATAAAACAATTTGTAGAAGTTAAAAATTTTGTATGGGGGGCATGACGTTTTTAGAAACCTTAAGGTGGGGCGTGGCCCATAAAAGGTTGGGACTCACTGCGATCAGGAACATGACTAGAACAAATTGCAATCAAATATGATAAAATTACTCCCTAAAACTAAGATCAAAATCATAATCAGAATCTTTACTATAAATTTCAAGCTCATTACATGCCTAACTTTCAGCAAATTCATGATTGATTAATGAATAACTGAAACCATTGTTTTACCTGTTAATATTGAAGATGTTTTTATCCGATTTATATCTTTTTTTTTTAGAAAAGCATCTATTAATTAAGGAAACAGTTTCGATTACCTATATATCTTTACATTTCGAGACCTCCAGAACATTTTGGTATACCTTAAAAAAATGGATAGATCTGTGTGCGTGTATATAAGCATGTTTAGATCTCATTTTTTTTAATTATCAAAAATTATTCGAATTTTAGCTTTAATTCGGTCAAACGTTAGCTCAGGTATATACTTGAAATAAATACTTTAACTTTGACATTCAGTTTATATAATTCTTAGAAATAAAAGATGAGGTTCCCTAATATATGATAAAATCTGAGGTCATTTTACCTAACTTTGCATCACCATGATTAGGTTTTGTTTCTTTATGTTTACATTTTTACATATGTGAACATCATCGTCAAGTTTATAAGTACACATTTTGTTATTAATTCTATAAAAAAACGAATGATAGAGTTTCTGGTACCTACATATTTATAATAATCTATGCTAAAATATTTAAAACATTTATTAATCATTTATCCATTTCAAAAATAGCAGAAAAAAAATAATTCTACAATTCTAAGTTAGAAGTAAATTTTACTAAACATTTAAATAAGAGCAGTTAAGATATGGTTGTTCGATATGCGTTCTTTGTTTTGATGTAGTTGGTTCAGTTTTCGCAGTATTACTTTTATTATTATTAAAAATAACAATCCTATAAGCCATTGTTACATAAGCGAGTGAGCAAAAAAGTTAGATTAGAAGAAAGAATA